AAAGTGGATGAGGGAGTTCCTGCTCAGGGCTGCCTGACTTTGGGCTGTGAGGAAGAAAGAGCTACGTGCTGTTTAAAGTATGCTTGGAAAGAGGCCTGGGGCATGGCTAGTGATTTCCCAGAAGTCTCTAAGTGAGAGGAAATCCAAGTGTCATCACCCAAGTGTCAGCCTCAATACCACACTCGAGGGAGTTTAGGACTAGGAAAGGCATCTTTTGTTTGGTATGCAAAACATCTCCAACTGAAACTGACCTTCATGAGCATCTAAATTTGTTTTCAGCAGGGAGGGAGCTGTTAGCCAACTCTCCAGGTATGAAGGACACGCCCAAAGCCCAATATGTAAGGGCAATAGAGCAGGTACTGCCCAGGCCTTTCTTGGAACTGGGGCCCTGGGGGAGGGGTGTCCTTCCCACCACCACCAGTCCCTCCACTGCCTGAAGTCTTCAGAGAACAAATCCAGGATGTGCCTTCCCAGGGGCCAGCACAGTGAGGTCACAGGCAGGTGTGAAAAACCTTAGAACCAGCCACACAAGGCACATGGGCCACAATGTCACCAGTAAGGACAAGCGTGGTCATTCTGTCCCTGTACGTCTCTGCCTCCAAAGCTGCACGTTTAGTGCTCATAGCTGATGATATTAATCCTGCCATCCATGGACATGGAAGGTCTCACCTTGGGCTCTTCCTGGCCTGCTCAGTTCCCCTTTCTCCTGATTGCCAGTATTTCTAACTCTGTACCCTCAGTACATTGGGATGCCAAGAGATCAACGACAGCCTTGAAGTCCCCTTGTCTCAGGTGTGCACCCTTGGGGAAATGTCCCTCAGAGGCTGTGTTAAACTCTTACTCAATCAAGAAGTCTCCAGAATAGTAAAATGTGTAGCAAGGACCTTTAAGTAGGAAATATTAAGTTAGCTTAGTGATAAATTCCAGTGTGGTTTTCTCCTCCTGTGTAAAGGTAAACTGTAAATAATACTGCCTATGTTTAAGGAAGGAAGTTTTTTGTTTGTTTTTTGTTTTTTGTTTTTGTTTTTTGTTTGTTTGTTTTTTCCAGACAGGGTTTCTCTGTGTAGCTTTGGAGCCTATCCTGGCACTCACTCTGGAGAGCAAGCTGGCCTCGAACTCACAGAGACCTGCCTGCCTCTGCCTCCCAAGTGCTGGGATTAAAGGCGTGAGCCACCAACACCCGGCCAGAAAGGAAGCTTTGAGCTTTTGTGGTTATTCTCTCTTCAAACTCCAATAGAGATCATGAAGGGGGTCACCGGGGATCTCAGCAATAACAATTTAAAAGTTTGTGGGTGGGCAGGCAGAAGTGTGGCCCTCTGTCCTGCACAATAAAGTTCTGAAGTTCAAAAAAAAAGTCTTGGTCCCTGCATGAGGTGCTGTTGGGAGCTGGGGGGAGCCTTTAGAGGTGGGGCCAGGTGCTGGTTTTTCCTTAGCCATTCAAAGGCATTCTCCTTTCCCCCCATTTCCTCTGCCATTGCTTTGGCTGGTCCTGGCTCTACCATCTGCCCTGTGGACCACTGGCATTGATCCTTGATCTTCAAAGTCTTAATCAGTGCACATTTGCCACCTCCACTTGCTTCGGTCATGCCTCTATTGAGATGTCATCTCCTTCTTTAGTTTAACCTCCCCTCTGGTTCCTTTGTAACTCAGGAGTCATAGAAGGCCTTTTCAAACTCTCTCACTTCATATGATATGAAAAACTTCCATGCAGCAAACTTCAATTTCCCAGCATGTATCAGCTATTTTACACCTCTCTGCCTTGGGAAGACATTCTACAGGAGGACACATGGTTTTCTCCCCTGGTTGATCAGAATATTGAAATAATGGACCCCAAGTTATTGGAATTTCCCCAGGAATCTCATGCTGAAAAGAAAGAAGGATGGAGCCTGTGCCAGCTGGAGGAGCTTGTCTCCCTGAAGAGACTCCATCTGGTTCTCACTTGTCACAGCACCTTACAGGGAAGGCTGGAGCCAAGACAATGACAGCCGGTGATGAGGAGGACCACACCTTCCAAATTGACTAAAGATGTGACTTTCATCCTCTCTTGAGACCTGAATCTCATGTCAGAACCCTGGGAATGGACTTGAGGAGCAGTATAATTAAAGCCACTGATAACAATCCATTATTTTCTCCTAGCAACCTGTCTTGTCCACTTGAAGGAACAGGAGCCCTCTGAGGTTTCCAGGATAGCAACTAACCAGATACTTCTTCACCAACACCTTCCAATGAGTGTGAACCCAACTCCTGACTCTCCTCCTCCCACACACTGTCCCTTGTCAGCAGGAAGAAGCCAGACGTGAACCGGCATCCATATACCCAAAGAGTCTGTCTGGGATGTTATGATAAAAGCTTTGCCCCAGTTGCTGGCATCTATATACACCCAAAGAGTCTGGGATGTTATGGTGAAGGTTCTACCCGAGCCCCTCTCCCCCATCTCCCTCCAAACCTTGCTGCATCTCAGAAAGCCCACCAATTGATGGCCCCCTCCCCCAGAGATACTCAAGAGCACTCCCACAGGGTATTTAAACTGTCTCCCAGATAACATACTCGTGTTTTTTTTTTCCTGTCTCCCTTTCCCATCCCCTCTGGGGGGCTGGACAGCCATCCAGGAGCATTGTATCCATTAAACATGGGCTTTTTCTAATTCAGTTTGATTTGGTCTGATTTGGATTGCTGCATCGGCAGAGAGGCTTATCAGGTGCAGAAATTTTTCATTTACTTTGTTGTTTTTTGTTTTGTTTTTTGAGATAAGAACCTACCACGCTGGCTTTAGAATTCACTATGTAGCCCAGGTTAGCCTCAAACTCTTGATTCTCCTGCTTCTGCCTCCCTAGTGGCAGAGATTACAGACAAATGTCACCATGCCCATTTTAAGATCACAACTTTAGGAGGCAAATCTCTTTGAAACTAAAGTGTTGTGGAAATGATACCCCCAATGAAGGCTTCTGAACCACTTTCTGTCTGACTTTCTTCTGCCCATTTATCTCTTAACCTTCATTCTTTCCCAGAGGCAAACTGTAGAAACTAAAATTCCTCAGTCTCAAGATGGGCCATAGAAATTAGAACCGCTGCTCTAAAAAAAATAAAGCCAGCCATGAAACCTGAAAGTTTTGCTTTGACTTCCTCCCACGTTTCTATGTGAGAGCTTGTCAGAAACAAGTTGTCTTCCCTACTTTGTATGTGCCCTACCTTGTGTGTCCTAGAAAGCATTGGGTCTCATTCCCAGAAGGAGGGTAGCATAGACCAGCCTAGGAGAGTCTGCAAAAGCCTTGCTATCCCCCAAGTCTAGCAGTAGCTGAAAGCCTTTCAGTACAGTCACATTTCTGCCCAAATGATCATGTTTAGTGGAAAGGAAGCTTAAATGTAGATAGCTCACCCTAGCTGCACCTTTGGCCCCATTAAGAAGAACCTGTTATGCTTTTCTACACCTTTTGTCATGAAGGTGTGGATCTAAATGATGGCAGGAGACAGATGAACCCTTTCCAGCTGCCCCGGCTGCCACCATTGCTCTTGACCTCTGTCCCTCACAGACCTGCAGACAGACCAGCACCTTCCATCGCCATGTTCTCCATGCTCACAGTCAGCTTTGTGCTTGAAAGCAAAATGGCTCAGTCATCCTCCCAAGAGCGCTTTATACTTTGCTCTCTGGGGGTTGGCTAGCCACCACCAGGTCATTCACTTTTATTTCCCTAAGCGGCATTATATTCTACTTCAAAAACTTAAGCAAATACAAATGTAACTCCCAACAGTTATGTGTAATCCCTGGGGTCAACCATCAGAGATTTCCCTATGGGCGGGTTTGAGGTGTTAAGAAACAAAGGTTGAGAGAAAGGATCTAGTGTGGATCCTTTCAGAACTTCCAAGTGCTAGTGGGTTGTTATTTTCATATATTTCCATTGTATTCCTATAAGAATTAAGAAAAGTATATTTATCACCATAATCTAATAGTGATCTTGGGTACATAAGCCAGAGAAGTGAAAATCTGTGGCCTGGGGAAAAAAAGCTTGCTCATAACTGTACTTATCAGCATTGCTCCCCATAGCCCAAAATAGAAACATTGCCAATGTCCATCAATGTCAAATGGACAGACAATATGTGGGATATCTATACAACATAATAGAATTCCAGGGATGGAAATGCTGAATAGTGTGATGCAACAGATGACTTGAAAACCCTCGCAGAGAGAGTCAGAAGCAAAAGTCCACACACGGTCCTGCATACATGAAATATCCAGAATAGTCCAAGCCCAGAAAATAAAAGTTGATTGGTGTTTGCCTTGGGCTGGGAGCAGAGGGGTCAGGGACAGTGATTGCTCATGGGCACTTATCCTTTGAGAATAATGCAAAAGTTCTAGAAGTAGATGGGGATGATTGCCTAACTTTGTAAACATAATAAAAACACTGAGTTGTGCAATTTAAGTGGGTGACTACTAAGACATGTGAAGTATATCTCAATTTATTTTACATCCCATGAAAAAACAACTTCCTACTTGATCCCATTTTTATGAGCAGTCAAGGGATGTGGGGGCGGGGGCGGGGGCATTCTGGGCATCCTGGGCATTCTCTCTCAAGTCTCAGGCCAGATTCTGCAGGATGCTGGCCAGGGCTCCCCAGTGCCCCACCCCCAGCCCTATTGCCCTCTCCCCTTCCCTCTCCATCCTCCTGCGAGCAGCAGGGTTCCCACTGCTGTCTTGGGGTTGATCTCTGCATGTCTCCATTCCTGCTCACTAGCCCTTCATGCAATGCTCTCACCTGTCTCCACTTCCCCTTTCTCCTGGACTCACCACGCTCGCTCACACTCTTCCCAATGCTGCGCTTGTTCTTTGCTTTACTGCAAACAACACATATCAAAGGGTTTCTGGGAGGAGGGTGAATGAGCTTGGAGTAAAACTTAGAAATCTGCACTTAATACTTAAAAGACAGGAGTTTTACACTTCAGAATGCGCTTTGTCCCAAAAAAAGTTGCCCCCCCCCACTTTTAGAGATAAATAATTTTTGATATGTCTTGCATAAATAGTATTTTTATTACAGGTAGTAATCTAATTTATACACCTTTATACATTTCAAGGACTACACCCAAGTATCAGGAACATAAAATTTCAAATGTAAAATCGAAATTTACATCAATAAACACCGAAAACTATTTTCAGACTATGTGCTGCCTTCAGTTGCTTATACGGGATCTAAAGAATGCAGGCAAACCCTAAAAATGTAGCAGAAGCATTTCCGCACACTGGTATCAAAATCTAGTTTGTGCGGAAGTGTTTCCACTAGATTCATAGAGTATTCTTCAGAAGGAAGGACGAAGAGCCATCATCTGGTTGCCCTCCGGACTTTCTGCAGCTCTTCCACGGGCTTCCATTGCTGGTTGATGGTTATAAGCTTGAGAAACAGAAAGCAAGCAGCTGTGTTAACACCTGCTCTCAAGCCTCGCATTCCTTTAGGGGATCTGTCCTTCCTCCCTTAAGGGAAAACATCACCACAGTCATCTAAGAACCACTTCCCTGTCTCTGAAACAAGCACAGACTAGCGGACTGGCCTATTTCTACCACTCCATCCTCGAAAAACCCGGGGGTCTCTGGTGCAATAGGATCGGGAGAGCAGTCACATATCTGTTCTCCTTTCATTAGTCACGTCGGGATTTTTAATTTGCTAAAATAGTATTTAAATTCAAGGGGTGCAGCCGTTCCTTGTAAATGGATGTACAATGTTCCAAGCACAGGGCAAGACACACAGTAGTCTTCTTCCTTAAGAAGAAATGTGCACAGTAGGCTCTTAAGATTTCTTCCTTGCTATTGCTTCATGGAGGCACAAACGATCCAATCAGTCCTCATTCAGGCATCCCCATCATCCCAGGCTCTGGGAGACACAAAGTTACAAAGATCCCCAATGACTCTACTTAAGGGTTATCAGATCCTTGCTTTTTTGTCCCATCTTTGCTAATGGTCCTCAATGATGTTCATTCTGATCCCGTGCCACTAAAACCCAGGCCAGTGAGATGGCCGGCTGGCTGGCTGAGTGGGTAGAAGTGCTTGCACCCAAAGCTAACAACCTGAGTTTGCTTTCTGGGATCCACGTGGTGGGAGAAAAAAAACTGATAGCCTCAATCGTCCTCTGACCTCTACACAGGAGCCAAGGCGCAGGCATGACTCCTCACCCCTCAACAAATAATTAAAAATAAATGCTTAAAAAATAAAACCTTTTGAAAAGGAGTGAGTGATAGCTGATTCCACTGGGAAAAATGCACTCCCATTTTCAGGAATTCCTATTGTTTATTCCACCTTACATTAGTTTTAGCTAAGTAATAGGGAAACAAGGTATATATTTCAATAAAGGTTTATATTTGAGTGATAAATATGGACTGGCCACTATGCTAAAATGTTCTATATTTAGATTCTTTAAGTTCTGAGGGCAAGTTTTATTAATGTGATCGTTTCATAGATTCAAAAAAGCCAAACTGCCCAGAGTGTCTGTGCAGAACAGTGCCAGGACCTGAGCTAATTAATCTCTAGACACTGAATGTCACTCGGCCAGTGCAAAGGCTTTGCTGGAAAAGGATCAAGCTGAATGTCAATTGCATATTGTAACTTCACACAATACCTTTTGGGGTTGAGTAGGATCCACCATTTCCCAAGGTTCTGGGTTTCTTTTGTGATCAATACTAAAAATAAAAGAAGATTAATTAAATGAAGGCAAATTCGCATACACAAATCTGAAAGAGATTGGGCTTATAAAATTTCTAGAGACAGATTCTGTCTCCACACTGGACCTGTTAACTTTAGTCACCAGCTGTAACAGCTGAAGTTAAAGCAGCATCCACTGATAATTCAGGGTTTGCTTCAAGTCTTCAGGATCCCTTCCTCTGCAGGGCAGGATAAGAGTTCTGTTTGCTTTATGGGGCGGGATTGGAGACTGCTCCCACAAACAGGGAGCAATGGAGGCGAAAGGACGAGCAATGGGGTTTCCAGAAGGGATGGGGGGGCTAGGCTTTAACTGTGCAGGCCCTGGCTCCGGGCACCACCCTCTCTCTACCTGTTGCACTGTCCTTTCTGAACCTTGAACCAGCCATCAGTTTCAGAGATATTTTCTCCTTACATCCCAGGAGACAAGGTTTATGACTTTCTCTTACCCCAAGCTGAGAAGAGAGTGCATTACAGATAGCTGAATGCTTCAATTCTACCACACTAGCAAATGACTTCCTAATAAGTTGAGATTTTGAAGCTTAATTATGTTTGATGATATGTACCCCCTAAATTTTTTTAAGTATTTCAATTTCAAAGATTAAATTTAAAAAGAAATCAAATTTTACTCCACTACAGGACAATTGAGGGTTCAGACATAAGAAACAAAATGTCGCTGTCGGGTCAGCGTCTGATACCGGACTTGTTTTCCAGCCCACACTTTGGTGTTCGGATTAGTAGGAAAAACCCAGGCACTGACAGCATTTGTTTCAGAATCTGCAGGTCGGAGAAAAGCTGACACCCATAGCCAGAAGGCCTTAGTACTTACACCACATCGGTTTTTTTTAAAGCATACAAAGCAAAAGATGAGGCTCCAGTGGCAGCCACGGTTACGATCAACGCCAAAGGAATGAGCTAAGAGAGAACAGGTGGGGGATAAATTCAGTATGAAACCTCCGAAATATAACAAACGAACATAAATATTCAAAATCTTCATCTTTTCCCTCTCCTCTTAAAAAAATAAAAACACTCAGAAATCAAGATTTATCGATAGCTTTAAAAACTTACTTCCTTATTTTTCATCAATCTCTGGAAAATGCCCATGATGACTTTAGTGTAGAATTTCAAATCTAGAAGAAGGAAAAATCCAAGATACTGGTCAAAAACATCCTTCCCTCGAGTCCGGGCACCCAGCCATCCAACAGACACAGAAGGCCCGGCTCGGGCCCGCTCCTCAGAACTTTCCAGAAAGGAGACGCACCTGGGACGGCTGTGGCCAGGAGATGTTAACGCCCCGCTGCGAGCCGGCCTTATATACAGTCAACCGCTTGCTCGGGAAGGGCCCGTTCTGATCACGCGGGGACAGGTCCGCCCGACTCTTCCTGGGCCAGCTCACGCGCGCCCTCTGCAGGACGACAGGGCAGACCTGCC